AGGTCAATATACCTTATAGAAGCCTTATAGAAGCCCTATATACCCCAAAACCCCTCACCTGTAGTCTCCTTTAACCTCTTATGCCTCATCGGCCAGGCCGCTGATGGCGCAGAAACGCGGGGAGGGAGTCGCCCCAGCCCAGGCGCTGGCCTAAGGATTCTGACTGAAGGTTTAGGGTTTAGGGTTTCTTTGAGGACTCCTTTTAAGGGTTCCACAAGGGTTTCCTTTGAGGGTTCCATAAGGGTTTCCTTGAAGGGCTCCTTTGAGGGTGTCCAAAGATTTGAGGGTTTGGGGTTTAGGACTGTGAGGGTTTAGTATAAGGCCTTCATAACTGGACGAGGTTTTTGTAGCACATCATGGTATGAAGATGTAAGACTATCAGGGGCCACTCTTGCTGAACATGTTTAAAGCCCTATATATTAGACCGGTTCACTGGTATAGTCGTTTGGCAAAGGCCCCCAGGGCATTTAGACTCCCGGGCCCCGATAGCCGCATTATGCTTGTCTTTTGGGCTATGTTGGACCTAAACCCTAAACCCTAAAACCTAAACCCTAAACCGTAGGTGTGGGGCTGAGGGCGGAGGGTCGAACTGCGGTCTGCAGATGATAAAGACGAACCCAAAAACACGGCAAGTCGCTCCATGCCGAAGTACTGCAACACAAAGTGCCCAAACAAAAAAAGGCCCAAGACGCTCTTGGCTCGAGGGGCCATGCCTTAAACCGAACCCAGTGAGATCTGACCAGCTACTAATAACTTTCTTGTCACCCAAACCCGCAACCAAATACCCGAAACCCCATAAAACCTATACACAAGACAACGAACCCTAAACTTGTCACCCAAACCCGCAACCAAATGCCCGAAACCGTATAAAACCTATAAACCAGACAGCAAACCCTAAACCCAGAGACTCCGATCTCCCTTAATTAACGAATATACCTTAAATCATGTTAAGCATCCTACTATAATTTAAGGAATATTCCTTAAATAAGGAATATTGGAGTCTCTGGGAACGTCTAGGAGATCGTGCGCGCGCGCCATGACATGGCGAAGCCCCAAACCCTGAACCCCGGAACCCCGAATCCTTAAGGGTTTAGGGTGTTTAGGGTTTAATTTAGGGTCTAGGGTTTAAACCCCTACCTAAGCCCTTTTTGCAAGGGTCCTAGGTACTGTTATGAGGGATAATTACTTTCCCAAATCATAAAATAGAACTTGCTATCATAGAAACCCTACATTCTGCTCTATAGGTACTTAGGACCCTTTAAACCTCAACCCCCCACCCTAAACCCTAAACCCCTCCGGGAGCCCGCGCGAACCGACTCCACGAGCGGCTCCCCTCGTTCGGAAGACCAGTAAGTGGACTCGGACCTAAAGCAAAGTTAAAGGAAACTACAGGTGGGGAGTTTAGGGTATATAGGGCTTCTATAAGGCTTCTATAAGGTATATAGACCTTCTATAAGGCTCCTATAACGGTAACTACCCACCAGAAAGGGCTTTAAGGAATAAGGGGGACCTGTACCCGAAAAGACCTACATACCTTTCTGGGGTTCCTTATTCTGGTTTCTATAATAATTACTTAAAAAATGCAAGTCTTTTGGGCCAAAGGGAGAGTTCCGGGATGTTTAGGGTAATTATGATGTTTGGGTTTTGCGGCTTCGGGCTTTACGGTGTTTGGGGTTTGAGGCTTCAGAGTTTTAAGGCTTCGGGACCTCAATGATCAGGAAGCGGTTTCTACAAGGGTATTATGAGGTTTTTGGGTTTAGGGTTTAGGGTTTAGAGCTGAGGGTTTAGGGTTTAGGGAACCCTAAACCCTAAACCCTCTTCATGACTCGAAATGGGCTTCTATAACGGCTTCGAGTTGGGCTTTAATATGAGGGTTAGGCACTTGCTTTTCGAGGTTTAGGGTTTTAAAAGGTTTATGCTGGACTAGGGTTGCTGTAAGGACGTAGGAATTGGGTGTAAGTTTTGGGATGATGGGGTCTGGGGCTTGGGATTGTAGAGGTTAGTCGGCGGTGTAATGGGGCTGCACGAGAATTGCGAATTATGCAAGGTGGTCTCAGCCACGACGATAAACAAAACTAGATCCAATCTATGGAGCCCTTGAAACAGTCACAGCATCCGCAATAGGTATCTACTGACATAGCTACTTCTAGTACCCAAGGCTAAGCCTATGTCGGGCTATTCAGACGGCACAGGAAGTAACTCTGCCAAACCCAACCAACAGCAAATGCTTGCGAAGAAAAGCCTCAAAACGAATCGACGCTATGCCCTCAACCCTATACCCTAAACCCCTAAACCTTAAGCCCTAAACCCTAATCCCTAAACCCCTAAACCTTAGGCCCTAAACCCCGACCCAACGTGTCAGTGACTGCAAACTATAAAAAGCCCCATAGTAGTTCCTTCTTGTGGCTTATATTTAGGATCCTATTAGGTAATCCCCAACAGGAACTACTATGGAGCCTATGGGTCTAAAGGGCTGGTCCCTGAGCCTAGCGGCGAAGCCACGCAGAGGTTGACGCCATCGACGCTACCCGTAGAGCCCAAGTACCTTGGAACTAGGGCCGATGTTATTTGGGTGTAACGTAGGGAATCATGCTAATGTAGAGTTCCTTTAAAGGTATCTCTAAAGGGTTCCATACGGGATTCTATGACAGGGTTCGATATTAGGGGCCTTATTAATTAGAATAGAGTTCTGGGGCCCATCATACTATAAATATAATAAGGAACCCCTAAAATAGTATAGACAATTATTGAGGCGCCTATATTATGAAGCCAGGGTTTTGGGCTGAGGGTTTAGAGGTGTGGGGTTTTGGGGGTTTAGGGTTTAGGGTGTATGAAGCCAGGATCATATGAGGCTAGCACAACTGCAATGCTCGGCCTAGTACAGTAGCTATTCGCTGCTACCATGTTGTGCTAATTGCAGAACTTTGATTTGATTGTTTGTCTGTCCTAAGCCCTGAAGCCCTTTAAACCCAAAGCTCTAAGCCCTAAACAAATGGGTTTTGCAGATTCAAAAATGCTCATGGGATGTCGAACATTCGTCATGACTTGAATACTTTTCTATTGTCCGTTCTTGCCAGTAGACTTAGACTGTAAGGGCATACTTTCAAGAAGTATATGCTTGCGTAAATCTTATCATCTTGCTCCTGCCCTTCCGCCTGAACACCTTGAGTCGGAAGCCTAGTAAGACATCCAGACGCCCTAAACCAGAATTGCAAATGAAAGAACGCCACATTCAGCACTACAGATCCTATCCGCACCCGGTATGACATAAAACCTATGCTATCATATATGAAACATCTTCATACACATGCATGCAACAGCAACATTCCATCTTGTTGCATACATATGCATGTGTGCATGCATGGATGGATGGATGGATGGATGGATGGATGGATGGATGGATGGATGGATGTATGTATGCATGTATGTTTGCATGCATGCCCTGGCCACGACCATGGCTCTCTCTCTCTGTCTCTCTCTCTGTGTAGATATGCATATGTATATACATATTGTATGTATTTGTACGTACATATACATATACATATGCATATACTCCTGTTTTGCCCTGGACCCCAGGTGTAGCCACGGGGCTTGAGACCTCGTCCGCAGACGTGGTTCACTTGCCTGGCGACTACGTGAGCACAAATGCTTTGTTCAAGGGTTGATTTGCGCGTTAAGCATGGGCCAGCACGTATATGCACAACCTCCGATTTAAAGACTTATCTATCTCTAGTCGTTTTCTGTATATCTATGTCAGGGCTACTTGTAGCGGCTACAGTTCTTTCGCATGCTTGAGATTTTCGCGCATGCTAGTTCGCGATATGTTCCTAATGGTACCGTCGCTTTTTTGGGGATTGGACTTCTCCAAACTCTCGACCCAAAAGCCGTACCATGGACAACCATGGACGACAGCGCAACAACGATGGCTGCTTAACGTAGTAGAGGATCTGAGGACTAGACCATAAGTAGGACACTCAACCCCAAACCCGAAACCTTCAAGCCGAAACCCGAATCCTTAACAGGAAGCCGGCGGATCAGATCGACGGCTCACGAATAAAGGCGCCTAGATAATTGCCCATACAATTCTGGGAGTATGTATCATGTATCCCAAAGCCCTGTTCTGATTAGAGTAGTAAATACAGTATAGGATACCCAAAGCCCTATTCTAATTGTGAAAGCCCTTGTAGTGTCGTCACCCTAGGCCTCATGTTTGCACGGTTTAGGCTTTAGGCTTCTGGTTTAGGATTCAGGCATTAAAGGAACACTAAAGTCCTGATCCTGAATTATGTTCCGTCTTGCTCGGCGTAGTCAGATAATGATTATAACCTATTATTACACTATAACAGTCAGATACTGATTACAACATACTATAAAGTTAATATAGTTTATAACATGCTATAAAACTATCCAATCACTATAGTACATAAGGCAAAGTACCACCGGCAGTAGGTGGTGGGGGGGGTCGTATTGGTCGTCGTCGACGGCATCATCACAGTAGCAGTTCTAGTAGAAGCAGCAACAGCAGCTCAGCAGCAATGGTGGTGGTTGGTATAGCAGAAGCAGCCCTAAACCCTAAAAAACCTTGAACCTAAAAACCTTAAACCCGCGAGCTGGGAGTGGCAGTGGTAGCAGCCTGTCGCCCTCGCATTGCAATGATAATGCAGGGGCCTTAATGACTAGAAGCGGGTTTTGGGGGCTCCTTATTATAATTATAGAATAATGGGCCCCAAAACCCTATTCTAATTATTAAGGACCCTACATTCGCAAGATCCGGCTTCGAACCAAGAAGTCTCAAGCTGAGGGATCTAGGGTTCAGGGTTTAGGGTTCAGGGTTTAGGGTTCAGGGTTTAGGGATCAGGGTTTAGGGATCAGGGTTTAGGGATCAGGGTTTGGGGTTCAGGGTTTGGTGTTGTTGATCTAGGGTTGGGGACTTATGGCTTAGACGCAATAGTTCCAATGCCGCGAAGCAACACGTCGAGGACCACCTTGATGCCCAACCTCAGTTTCCAAAACATCTTAGCATCAGGCCGCATCTTCATTGAATTACCTATAGTAACTACAGTACATGGTATAGAAAAATGAATAATGCCCCTAGAAGACTGTAAGGGTTTAGGGTCTTCGTTTTAGGGTCTCGAGCTGTTAGGCTTATAGTACGGTAACCCACATTGCATCGGTAAAAGTGCTTGTGAAGCAGGTCCGTATCTGGTTTCTCGACATGGTAATAGCCATAGCGTCCCCAAGCATAATGTAAGGGCCGTACTAGTCAGGATCGGGTTTCGGGGTACAGTATACTACACTTATGAAAAAGGAGGTAACTACTTAGGCCGTAGGCCCCTAAATTACTGCAAGGTCCTTGCCTCCAGGGTCACAGCGACGTAAGCAGAACGTCCAGAGTGCGGAACACCAAAAGTTTGGAATTCCATGCTTCAGAAGCTCGCAAAACATCTGTAGCATCACTCAGTAATCGTGTTGGTAACAGCAAAACCCGAGGGACAGTGACAGAAAGCTCAACAGCCACAGCGCTTGCAATAGGTATACTGACAGTTGCAGACACGGTACTGCAAAGGCGTGATTCTAAAAGCAACATGTACGACAAGGTTAAGGGGCTCAGAGGTAGATATAGGTAGGGACAGAATTATCTCGCGGACGGGCTATGGCTCCGTACCAGTTGCATATACATGAGATCTTATACCTTCGATTCCACTCCTAAGTTTTGAAGACCATGGCTGGCTATGAATTTCAAACCCCAAAAGGCCAACAAAAAACTCTAAACCCCTGAACGTAAACCCTCTCTTCAAGTACACGCTATCACCCAGTGCCATGGTACATATGTGCATCGTGCACCAGCTCTCGCAGAAGCTCGGTATTGCCGAAGTTGGAGTCGATAGTAGTGATATCCTGAGCCGGGCTTCTTATAGGATTCAGATGAAGGTTTGACTTTGACTCAGGCTTGGCCTTCTAAAGTCTTTCTGGAGTCTAAACCACAAACCCTAGATCCGATCTTAAAGCCTTTTGGGCCGTAATACAGGGGCCTTAATAATGAGAATAGGCTATGGGGCTACCGGTATCAGCTGTACAAGTAGATGCGCATACTTCACACCTAATTCTGAGCATCTTCTCTAACATGTCGCGTCATCCGACAGGCTCAGAGTGCAACTTAAGCTCTTGCGTACAAACTGTGCGGAGGTGCAGTTCGTGGGTACAAGATTTTCCCGACATCCATTTGCAGTCTCATTCGCCCTCCCGCCGGCGGGGGTTACCCCCGCCCCGAAACAAAAAGGTCAGAAGTCTGCCGATCTCACGCAAGCAGAACTCCCAGTCACAGGCCGAACCTTCCAGCAAACTTGCTCCTGCTGTGAGCAGCGCTTCTTTGATTGCCTCCTGCACGCCCTCCAAGCCGCGGATGCGTTCCACTTCTGCTGAAACCATTGCCCGCAAGGTCTTGGCCTGTCGGGGCAGGTCCTCAAAGTCTGCCACCCAGTCTGCTAAGGATGTCGAGGACGTGTGGCGTGTTCGTCAAGCTCCTGTGATCATGTTTCTGCCACGTAGAGCTCCAACGCCCATCAGGCATCCGGGCTCCTTCATCCAACTGTGCTGGCGGGTCTTTGTCTGCCGCAGGTGTCTGTCCAACAAACTGAATGCATTTGTACCCAAAAAATGAGAGGTTTTCGCGAAGTGGAGGCTTACTTGCTCTATATTCGGTTCAGTGTGGTTTAGGGTTTGGGTCTACAGCGCTAACCTGACCTCAGGGAGATTCTTGCTGGCTTTTGCCAAGCCCTTGCAGGGCATCGCTGTGCAAACCACCGAAAACAGAAACCGTAAACCCTAAACCCTATAGACCCTAAACCCTATAGACCCTAAACCCTAGACCCTAACCCCTAGACCCTAGACCCTAGATCCTATACCCTGAACCCTAAACCCTAAACCCTGAACCCTATAAACCCTCGACGCAAGGCCCAAAAGCGCGCTTAACGAAAAGATGACCGGAAGCCCGGACATGCCCTTATACTTATACTTCAGAGTCGGTCAAGAAGTCAGGGATTTAGCAGTTGGAGGGTTTAGGGTTTAGGGCATGGGGATTTGGGGTTTTGAGGGTTTTGGAATTGGGTTTAGGGTTTAGGGCATTTTGGGGTTTAGGGTTTGGGCGTTTAGGGTTTGGGGGGTTTAGGGTTTGAGGCTTCAGGGGTTACTATACTTACGGAACTTGGGAGGGCTCAGGGTTTAGGGTTTAGGGTTTAGGGTTTAGGGTTTAGGGGTTTAGGGTTTAGGGTTTAGGGTTTAGGGTTTAGGGTCCAGGGGCAGCACCCTCGCACAAATTCTCGTTTTACTTGTGTCTTATATAGGGTTTGTCTTATACTGATCAAACTTCAAGCTGTTTCACAGCATCCTAAGGTTAGGGGTTTAGGAGCTCAAGGGCTTTGGAGGTTTAGGGGTTCCTTTGTTCATATAGGGAACTTAATAATTTCAATATGCTTTGGGGGGTATATGATACGATATTTACAATAAGGAACCCCCCAAACCCTATTCTGATTATTAAGGCCCCTATAGACCCTAAACCCTGAACCCCTAAAC